GTATCAACTGAGGCTCAGAACATTCATCGCGCTAATGTGGCTTTGCTGTTATCCTATTTTCCGTGACTTTTCCTTTTTTTTTTTGTATTAGGCAGATTGCAACACACACAACGAAAGCACTCTTAAAAAATCAGACCTGACAAACTCACAAACTAACTCCATTTGTGCACATAATCTCTGCAGTCCTGTTTGCTATGGAAGATAATATAGGTGAACGTCACTGCCTATGAGGAAAGATGGTTCTCTCAGTCTCTCCAAAGCCTTACTTTACCTGGCTCCTAAGAATATAATCAGAATTTCAGACGCATGAAAAACTGGAAAAGACCAGGAATCCTCTAAAGAAACGAACAAATCCTTCTGTAGAAATATCCTATTAAATTCGGAAATAAACTGTAGGAAAATGTTGCAGAGAGAGCTCAGACTGAGACGCCTCCTGCTTGCTAGCTTTGTCTGTGCTGTGTATTCACATATTTGAACGACTCCCAGTGTAACCTAAGATACTTCTAATTCCGCTAACTTTTCTATTTTAGGGCTGTCTTTTGATGAGATAAACTAGAAAAGCCTCTTTAGGTATGCTGTCAGAAGCTTGTGCATTTGGAGGAAAAAGCCCTCTCTCTCGCTCCCTTCTGCCACTGAACGCACTAGCGCAGACCACATGCTGCAAGGGGTTGGTAAGGGTCGTGTTGCTCCCTTGCTTTAATTTTGTCACAACAGTCGCGTCTGGAATTCCACTCTGCACTGGGTTATTAACTCTCATTTTAACCGCCTAGGAAATAGCCTTTTAGAAAAATGTCTTTGGCTACCACGTGTGACAACGTTCAGGAGTCTCCCCGTCTCTAAATGTCAAAATGGAAGACGTTGTAGTTGAGTCTCATTCTCAAGCAAATAAGAGACTGGCCAAACAGGTTTCCTGAGTCTCTGTCTTGACTCTCCCTATCCTGTTTGAATTACACAAGAACCTTCTAGAGTCCGGTGGGAATTAACTTCCCGTGGCACCATGGTCATCTTAATAAGACAGACACAGACCATCTTCAGTAAGCATGTCTGCATGGCACCGCAGACCATGCTCCACACGCACAGAGCCATCTCAAGAGCATGCCAACCTTGGGGGATGAAGATGGGGAGTCCCTGGGTACGACCACTTCTCAGCAAAATGACTGAGGATGCTACTAAGCCTTCTAGAATATCTTCTCAGTGATTCCCCTCGGTACAGGCTGTGGACTAAGCAGATAAAGTGGAACACTCAGACTCAGTCTTGCCAGCACGTGTACAAATCGCTCGCATTTTTTAACTGGAAAACCACAAGGACCTTAGTGTCTCCATGACTTAGCAGAAGCAACCCAAATGGTATGAAATGGACCACAGGATAGGCCAGCAACTAAGGTATTTTAGCATCACTTTTGTCCTGGATTGATGTGTTTTCCACGTTCTACGTCAGGCTGGACAACTGGTTTAAGGAGGAGTCTAGTCCTTGCTTCCCACGGGAGGCCATGTTTTAGTTCACATAATAAAGCCAATAGACGATGTTGAAGAAGGAGAAAACCACTGGGAAGAAGATGCGGGACCACCGGTCTATGGCGTTCACATCAGTCAAGTCGGGGATGGTGATTTTCAGCTGGGAGGCGCGTCTCCGCAGGCGGCTCTTCTTCTGGGCCACGTGCCGCTCCAGGGCATTGCGGCCAAAACTATGCCTGGGCAACCCGGCTTTCCGATACTGAATGCTGGAGGCATCGTAGGCCAGCATGGTGCTCCTGGGGTCTCCGAGTCCTATCACGGCCTCGGAGGTGGCCATTTCATTCTTTATCTCGAGAGTGCTCAGTAAGATGTTCTCATGGGGGTCCATCTGCAGGGGAGAAGAATTGAACAAGACATTCAGAAACAAGCCTTTATTGGTGATGGTTACACAGGGCACTGTGACGGGTAGTTTAGATATTTATCGCGGTGGTTGAGAGAACTGGCTTTGAGATGACAGCATCTGAATTTGAATCTGCCTCTCGAAACAGTGTGAGTTTCACTTGCTTCCTCTTTTTAATGGTATGACAATCCAGTCCTAGAGGAAAGCTGTCATGATGTAACAGCTTAATATACTGTTGCTGGGACCATTTTCATGGTTTCTACTTAGGGCATGCAGAGAAATGGAAGGCACGACCCCCTCCAAAGCAGTTACAGTCTTGATGCAAATACATACAAAATTAAACTGTACTAGGTATGCAAGAGTGTTAGGAGATAAATTGCTGAATTGTGCATACAACAGTAGCCTAATTGTAGATGAATTCCCGATCAAACTTGAAGTAAAAACAGTAGGAAACATTTATTAAATAAGCACTTGATAAAAATGCCAGAAACAGCTTTTTTTTTTTTATAACTTCACTCAGTTGATGCTTCATGCCCACAGTTACAAGATGTCACTTTGCGTTTGCAGTGTCAATATAAACAGGGTAAAGGAAGAGTTCTGGACAATAAAAATGCAGGCAACACGCAGCTTGCCAAAATGCAGCAGAATTTAGGACAAGGAACTTGAAAATAACAGGTGAACAGACTGTGGGTGGTGGAGGGAGAAACTGACTTGCAAAGGAGGGGAAGCAGGCGGGATTTAAGACTTAGCCCAGCATTGTCTGTGTTGAGTTGCATTCTGGGCCCAGGGAGTAGAATTAGGTGACCGTGCAGATAGAGTGACCCTTTTTTTCCTCCTGGATGATTTCTTCTCAGCAAAGTTAAAAGTAAAGGATGAATACTGACATTATGATCCCCCAAATGAACTGATTACAGAATGTTTTTTGTTTTGATTATGGATGAGAAGATCTGTGTGTCTTATTTTTTAAGAGGCCTCAAATGCTTCAATCAATGAAAACTAACTGCAACAAACTCTTACTAATAACAGAGTATATTTATTTTTGTGAAGACTCAGAATATATTGATTATCAATCCTTTTTAATAGCTTATCAATTTTTCTATCTTTTGATGGTTTCCAGTTTTACTGAGAAATAATTGACATATTATCACTTTACAATTTTAAGCCTCATGGCATGATGGTCTGATTTACATTTATCATGAAATGACTGCCACAAAAGTTTCAGCTAACACCCACTTTTTCATATAGATACAACAACAAAAAAAAAAAAAGGGAAAAAATTGTAATGAGAACTCCTAGGATTTACTCTGTTAACTTTCCTATTATATCCTTGAGCTCTGCTAGCTGCAGTCATCACGTTGTAGACTGCATTCCTAGTAATTATTTATCTTATAACTAAATGTTTGTACTTTTTGACAGCCTTCCTTCAGTTTCCCCTTCTTACACCCTCCAATTCTGATAACCACAAGTCTGATCTCTTTTGGTCTCTTTTTCTATGAGTTTTTCTTTTCTTTTTTTTTTTTTAAAGATGCCACATGTAAGTAAGATCATACAGTATTTATCTTTCTCTATCTAATTTATTTCACTTAGCATCATGCCTTCAAGGTCCATCCATACTGTCACAAATGGCAGGATTCCCTCATTTTTTATGACTGAATAATATTCCGTTGTATGTATGTATATGTGTGTGTATGTGTGTATATACACATATACATACATACATACATACATACCACGGCTTCTTTACCTATTCATCTGTAGGTGGATACTTAGGTAGTTTCCATGTCTTGGCTATTGTAAATAATACTGCTATGAACACAGGGGTGCAGATATCTCTGAGTTAGTATTTTGTTTCCTTTGGATATATTCTCAGAAGCGGGACTGCAGGATCAGATGGTAATTCTATTTTTAATTTTCTGAAGAGCTGCCATACTGTTTTCCACAGCGGCTGTACCATTTAACTGAAAATGGATGAAAGACCACAAGACTCGAAACCATGAAACTTCTAGAAGAAAACACAGGAATACAGCTCCCTGACGTGAGTCTTGGTCCCAGGCTGAGGTGGGAGAGCGGTGGGTGGGTGAGGAGTACTGAACGTCTGTATCAGTTTATGAATGGCCACTGCTCACTGGCACATTAGTATACTTCAGCCTCAAAACATGACTGCGTGTACAGTCTCAATTAAGGTTAATAATTAACCTGATTGAAAAAAAAATTTTTTTCCAGAAAATTCTTACCCATAATCATGAAGCTGTGGAGAAGGGTAAAGTATAACCATCTTCATTTCTAAATTCATTTCCCAGTTACCAAAGACATGGAGGAGTTCAGGCAGATAGGAGTTTCACTAGGCTGCACATTGGCATGAAGCCCTGAGATCCTGCTCCAAGGACCCCATCTAGTCCTTCCCTGAAGGACTGGTTTTCTGCACAAGGTTTGTCTTATTTTTGGATCCCCAAGCACTTGGCATGGTGCCTGGTACACAGCAGGTGCTCCAGAAATAAATGCCGATGGTATGAAATTAATTCTGTGACACTTAGCACCTCACTTAACCTTTTTGTGAGTCGTCAATGCGATACATTTGATTTGGCGACACCATTCTGCAAACTGGAACCGCGTGGGACTGCTTCTTGAGTCTCCTTCCCTGCTCCAAGGCTTCCACTTTTATTTACGCAGGTCTCTTGCTGGAGCAGCAGGCTCAGGTGCCTGAGATCCGGAAACTGCATTTTCCATGGTGCGCTGGACTACGCACATGACAGACGCCCTGCTTTTATCCCACAGACGGGATCTCAGTGAGTAGTAACTAGCAGCCAGGACTAAGCATTCTACGTATTGACCTTTCAGTTTCCCTGTAGTTCTCGGGATACCCAGTGATCGCACGCTCAGGAAATAAGGCACAGAAAGATGAAGAGACTTAGCGCAAGCCACACAGTGAAGAGGTGGCAGAGCAGGAACTGGAGTCAGGTCTCTCACTCGGCCGTGCTAAGGCGGAGCCGTGGCCCCGAGCCCCCACAGCACTCTACAGCTCACAAAGGAAGACCCTCTCCGCGGATGGTAGGCCTGCAAAATTCTCCTTAATGACGGGTAGAGGAGAGTGTCTGGACTTAAACACTAAAGATGAGAGCTAATGTAAAGTCCTGTTAATGCCAACGCTTCCAAGTAAACAGAGTGAACGTCGGTGGCTTCAATGTTCATCAGCCCCACTAGCAACAATTCTATTTAAGGAACCACCACTTCCCCACTCAGTTTCTGTGCTGCTGGTGTTGCCGAGAGCCAGTCAGAGCAATCCTGACATGGTGGTGGTTTCAGTGATGGGCACGTGACCAGTGAGCCTTTAGATGGGCACACCAGAGGAAAGACTCTCAAACTCTTCCACTGGATTTGTACTTAGAAGTATGTGGCCTGGAATCTACTGAATCGTTTTAAGATGCTTCAACTGCAAGAGCGGATTCTAACTGGAAAAAGAGCCACCCTTGGGAGAAATGGAGAATCCATGACCTGATGACGCCGTGTCTGTATCTAGACACAACTAACTTGCTGATGTTAAGCAAGAGAATACATCTCTCTCTCTCTCTCTCTTTATGCTTAAGCATGAGTTGAATTTTCTATTACTTGAGACTCCAAGAATCTGAACTGAGATATAATTCATCTCATTTACGTATCTCAACAACCCTATAACATAGGCAGGGCAGGAAAGAAATTGAGATGTTCCATCTGTAGTAAGAAGTTTTCGCAACTCAAATTGAAAGTAGGGAAATATGTTAAGAGATATATAATCTTCAGTATGCAGAACAGTGTTGGGTTTCAATCCTTCTGGCTGGGACCAAAAGCACCTAGCAGCTCTGAGGTTCATGGCTGGCTGGTCAACCGGCTGCACTTTCCTGTTTTCCCCTTGTCCTCTTTCCTACTCTTTTCCCATCAAAGGATGTGAACTGTGTTGGGAGCAAGGGTCAAAGGTAAAGGCTTTCTATATGTGTTTCAACAGGCTCTTTTACACATATTTCAAATGATAAAAAGGGAAAATCTCACTTTATTATGGTTAGCTTATAATAGTTAACTATCTGTAGAGTTTATTTTTAATCACTTTTATTGTTTAAATTAAAGAAAAACAACTTTTTAATTATGAATGTGGAATTGAACAGCAATTATCTTTCCTTATTTTCTCCTTTGAATTTTTTTTTTGGGGGGACAATGATTTTGGATGCGAGGTTTTTTTTTTGTTGTTTTTTTGAGGGATGTACCTACTGCATTATTGCAGAAGAGGCTATATTTCCATTTTTACAAGGACAGGAAACTGAAGTTCAGAAAAAATGACATGAGTTAATTAAATTCTTACTACTAATAAGTAATAAAATTGTACAGTCATTCCTGTCTGTTGATGATTATCTCAATGCAATAATATTCCACATGGCCTCCAGAATCTCCTAAAATCAGCCAAGGAAACTTGACTCAGATGGTGGTTTGGTGGGTGGAGTAACAGTAGGCAGGTATAATATACATATGGTAGGCATGATAATTTTTGTGGCTCCCAAACTTTAATATGCATCAGAATTCCCTGGAAGCCTTATTAAAACACAGACCTCTGTGCCCGACTTCCAGAATTCCTGAGTCAGGAGGTCTGGGACGAGGCTTGATAATCTGCGTTTCTAACGAGTTCCCAAGTGATGCTGGGCTGCTGGGCTGAGACCCACATTTGGAGAACGACTGGTCTGCTGGGCTAGGACTACATAAAACAGCAGCCGAGGCCTCGAGAAACACTGAGAAAGCTGAAGCTCTAATCACAGTCCGCACCACCCAGTTGAAAAGCAGCGATCATGGCCAAAGAACACCTGTGACGCCCATTCATTATGTACTGGAGGCAGGCACTGGGTAAAGCCCTTATACAATTGTAATGTTTAATCTTGACAATAATGTATAAGGAAGTCATTGTTACTATTAATACTCTCATTTTAACAATGAGAACATTGAGAATTAGGGATAGCAGTTAACAAGCA